AACCCGAATTTAAGAAAGCAAGAATTATCCGCACCGCACGGCACGTACACCATATCAGATGGCTAGAGGCGGCCAGCATATACTTGGCTAACCTTAAGGATAATCAATGCATCAATTATAAAGAAGAGATTACGTTATCAACAGCGTGGCTAGCGTTTATGAATAGTAATTTATGATAGCCCGTTTGGAGTCGACTGCGCATGACATACAACGACGGAAACGGGAAACGTGCATTCGAACTTACATATTTCGAATTTAAAGTTTTTACGAGCTGCATTTTCCATCAGAGATTTGAAAAAACCTGAAGAAGAACCGGTATAAGGGTTCAAAAACGTTAGTTTTGGTTTGTTTTGGATCGTTAAGAGTTAGTAGACGCACCAGTAACAGGTTAGAAAGAGATAATTAAATTTACTGAAATAAATAGATGATAGAAGATTATCTCAGCATTTGAATCAGAAATCTGATTCAAGTGAATAAACTATTTCTTTTCTCTAATTTATGAGGAATATTTAAAGAAATCTTCATAAATTGATTTATTTTTCTTATAAAAATGTCAATATTGATTTTATCAAGCAAGTAAAGGATGTTAATAATAAAAAATTATTATGAAAACAAGAATAAAACAAAATTTATGAAACTTTTACATTAGATAGAAAAATTTATGTGAGCTGTTTTAGAAAATTACTGTAAAACTGTAAAACATTAGCTTGCTTTACTTAAGCTGCTTATGTTTGCAGTCTTCATGTGGAATTGATTTTATTTTTATTGTTAATTTTTAAATAATTTATTATTAATTTACTATAATAAGTTTAAAATTATCCTAAGATTAAAATTATAATGATAATTGTGGTTGAGAAGCTTTGCGGAAAGTTTTTCATTTTTTAGATATTACTCATAGTTTGAGTTGTTAAATATGAATAAATTTAATATTTATTGTTATATAAGACATGTTTATTGTCTGTTACAGTATTGTATTAACATTTAACTGTTATGCTATGCCATTATTAAGAGTGATGAATTATTCAAACTCTGAAATGTTTTTAAATATTTTTGGGCATAAGTAACGTTTGTCATAAATAGGAGACTGACTATATCTACTTAGATCAGAATATTGTATCTTATAATATAATCAAGATGGGTTGATAATAATAATAATAATAATAATGATAATAGTTTATAAAAAAAGAAAAGATAAATTTGAGTAAACCTCAATGGGAGTCTCTCTTCAAGATGATAAATGCAATCATCCCATAATATGATGGGACGAGGACACTGGGGTTTGAGGAAAAAATACACGCATGCTAAAAAATGCAGAGATAAGCCGCAAGACTTTTGCAAAAAACTGGGTATTGGAATAAGTAGAATATCGAAAAACGTCATGCTGCATATATATATATATATATATGTACAAATATATATTTTACATAAGTAAATGGACAAATCACCGTAATTGCTAGCATGCAAACCGGTGCCTTAAGCGTTTGGTAAAACCATTGATGTTGTGACATGCTATCAATGAGAGCTTTCTAATGAACAAAGGGATAGCAAATATGCAGCCTTGTAAACATCGACAATTAAATGGAATAGTGGAAATAGTTACTCTATCTTCTCTTTGAAGTTGGAACTTCGCTTCCAACTGTGTCGGCCACTCTGTTGATGTATGGTTGGTTAGGGAGTGATTTGGAAGAGAACAAAGAGTTCTTAATTAAAACTTGTTTAGTGATAAGGATATTTCTTCGTAGTTGGATAATATAAGAATTTTTATTATAATGATTATTAATTTGATTAGTTTAACTAATGATAATATCAGTATATTTAGGATTTCTTCTATTTTTTTTCTTACAAAGTTATCGGTGATGAATTGTTTTTAAAAGAAATTGGATTTTATAAATTATCTTAACTGGTTCTTTGCTAAAATTAATAGTAATCAATATTAGATTGATTACTCTTTTTTATTACAAAATTACATCAACCAACCAACTTTAAAAATTTTAGTTTTTTTATTAATAAATAATAAAGGGTGGCCTATTTTTTCAAAAGTTAGAGATTTAGATAGAGGTTTGGTAAATTAAACCAATAACTTTGTTATAAAGAATTAGTGTATACATTTCCTGTCAACCCTACATATATATAAACTAAACATTTATATTTATTTTGCAATGCAGTGTAGCCTAACAATGTAGTATTTTTATATTTATGAAACATTCAATATTTTTCAATTTACCTTGACCACATGGGTTTCACCATCAGAATGGGCTCCTTCTGAAGAGGAAGACTTTTCTAAAGGTGGAGGAGGTGGAAGATGACTAACTGTATGTCTCTGTTCCTGAACGGAAGCCAATCTGAAAAATAAGATTAATTTTAAGCTTGTGTTTCTTGTAAATTGGAAGTTATATTTATTTAAATTCCTACATACAAGTGCAAAGCAATCATATTTTAACAAAGTGCCTTAAACACACACACAAACACATTTAAATATAAGTATTATTGTTTATTAAATATATATATATATATCTTATGGATTTAATAGTTAAAAAATTTCTGTTTCAGATATGAATATAAACCTACATATGATAAAATTATTATTTCAATGCCACAAAGAAGGCTTTAATAATTAGAAATTAAACAATTTAATTATACTTTCAAATTACATTAATTAAAAAGAAAAGAATATTTAAACAGAATATTTATTTTATATGTTAATGTTTATTCTCTATAACATGAACAACATATTTCATTTAATTAATATTTATTTTCAAACAAAAACTTTAAAAAGGAATATTTTGAGACTCAATAATATTTATGCTGTAATTAAATAATTTTTTTTTTCTTTTCTGAAGTTGGGATGAAAAATGATTCAAGATTAAAAAGAGAAATAAAAGTCTACAATTTAAATCAGTAAAATAATTACAGAATGTTCAAAATAAGTTTTTATTATTGACATTACAGTAAGACAATGATATATTTAAAATCAATGCTTTTCACTAAAGAAAAATTTTTCTGGAACATGTGATTTGTTTTTAAAGAAGACAAAAAAAATCAATATTATAAAAATATAACTTTAGTTCAAAAGGATTAAACTTATTGATACGAATTATACTTGAAATAATAATCATTTTAAACATTCCGAATTTTAAAAAGTTCTTTTAACAAAATACAAAATTATAAAATTAAGAAATTATAATTTTTATTTTATACAGAAAAGAATTCTGGAATAAAAGACATTACAGTCCATTTTCAGGTTTAACAATCAATTCAGAAATGTTATAAAAAGTTATTTAATATGAGATGTTTCCTAATAAAAAGAAACTCCTATTTGACTTCTATAAAATTGTCTTGCAACAATAATGACGACAAAAAATTATTTCATAAATTTGACTTTTGGTCTTTGTCTAATTTTAATATTTCTGTTTAAACTGTGAAGACTGTAAACATAATCAGCTTTTTAGCTTTTTGTTTAGAAATTAATTTAAATATTTACCAAATTTGTCATTATATATATATATATATATATATATAGATGTATGTAAATATAAGAGCCTTTGCAAACCTTAATTCAGTTGTGATTCTAGAACTGATAAAGTCAATAAAAAGTTATACTTTATTTCTACATTTGAAAATCAAATTTGAACTTTAGATGGAAAAAATTTTTATAACAAGAACTATAATTAAAAATCTATAATAATTTGCAAAACTAAATAAATAAACCTTTAAAATCTAGCAGTAGTTTTTAATAAACAAATATTTACAGTTATATTAGTAGCCATCATCAGATTCAAATATAAATGATCTCAAAGACCTATATTTGAACATCATGTATTATGAATACATTTAAATTCAAAACAAGAATACTACATTAAGAATACAATACATATCATTAATGAATATAAAAAATTAACAATAATTTTAATGTTAATGTTTAAGATATCTATAATTGAATCTGGTGATGGCTACTAATGTTTGATAGCCAAAAACTGCTGCTGAATTTTAAACGTTTATTTATATAATTATTTCATCCAACTAACTACAAATTATTAGTGATAAAAAATACTTATCAGTATACTTAGATTTAGATTCAAGGTATACATCTGAAATTATACATACTATTTCCTATTAGTCAATCATTTCAACAGTTTGTTTATTTTTGAATCCAAACTATAAGATTATTAGATATTTTCTTAGTTTAAAATGGTTTCTCCAATATATATATAGTATTTTCAGTTAATATATCCAAGACTGTACTAACTATCAGCTCAATATACAATAATCAATAACTGATCTAAAGAGGGTGAATGGAGAAACTTCCCTAAGATACTTTATTGCTAACATAAGTTTCAATATTTCTCTCAAATAATATATTTATATTTTAATCATTAAAGCAATTAAACTTTTATATATAATTTATTTCACTAACCACAAATTAAAAATTGCCCATGGATGTCCGTTTATACATTTTATTATATTTATTTCAAAATTTCTTGTATGTTTTTGTTTCTACTTATGATATCTACCATTCATAAAGTGATAAAGGTTTTAAGGGTGGTTGAGTTTTGATGGATATCCAAAGAGGAGGGTGGTTATGGAAATTTGGACAAACTGGGACAAGACCAGGAGGGGAAGTAAAAATTTCAAGAAAAATGTGGATGNTTAATCTTCCCAAGAGTCCCACAAGCGTTGAGAAGAGAAGATTTATGGAAACAACAGAATTATCACACTCCCTAACATTTCCATACAAGTTAACTATGATTTTCTTAAGCTAGAATCTAATCGACAAACCACACGAGCAGGTAATAAAAAGATCATTTGGAGCCATTAGAAAGACGTTTAAAACTATTTGTTACAATTACACAATTATGATTCCTAAAATTTTTGTCAAATAATAATTTTATATACCAAAAATTCCATTTAGACATATCTCTGTATTCGAAATTTTGAACGGAACGAGAAAAATGAATCTGAAAAAGGGAACCTCATTAAGCATTCACACATTTTGTTCTACGTAAATAAAAATGAATTTTTGTAAAAATTTTCATGAAAGGTTTTAGGATACATCATCAAATATTGTAAAAACATTGTCTGTAACGTATATAGATCCTAGATAAATAGAAACACACAATACAAATTCAGATTTAACTGTTGTAAAAACTCAACTTTTACCATTAATATTTTGTGTGTGTGTGTATTTTTTTTTTTAATATCAAGATTTCTCACCCAAATTTATAGTCTGTTTATGGTCTTTATGAGGATTTTTTTTTGTTACTTAGATTTAAATATTTAAAAGAGGTTTGTAAACGTAAAAAAAGAAATTAATGGGCGAGATGCAGCAACTGCCTCCCATTCACCAGATCTTATTTCTTGTGAAGTTTCGCTTTGCCAATATTTTGATGTTTTGTTTTTTTTTTTATTTTCAAAGAATGTCTGTCTCAAATACTTTGCTGCCTGCTGTAGATTTTGGATTCTGTCCTATTTGGGCACTGGTTGTTTTTGGAGATGATTGTGAAATATGTGGTTTTATTGGTAATGTTGCACTTCCACTAGTGACTGCCAAGTGAGTTAGAGAACCGGAAACTGGTGTTACAGTGAAAGCAGTTTTGGACAGGATGTTGCTTTCACTTCCAGTTTTCTTTAAATCTCCTAAAGCTCCGATCCCACTTCTAGGAGGTGAAAATCTTTGAAGAATTTGGCCTCTTTGAAGGTGTTGTAGCCTTGCGTACTGTTCCTGTAGATGTTTTTGTTTTTTAAGTAATTCTTGATGGCGTTGTTCCAGAAGTTCTTGCCGTGATCTCGGCGGAGTCGAAGGAGTAGATTTTTTTGAGCTGTCTCCTTCATTAGGCCCTAAAGAAGCCCTCCTTTCTAACCGGTTCCCTGGTATGTTCCCTTGCAGAGCCATTTGCAAGCCTTCTTGGGAGTTTACGCTCTCGCTGCTGCTGCTATTACTCGATAACTGTTCTCTTCTAAGGGCGTCATCTGATATGGCACTTGTTTTAAGAACATCAATGCCTTTCTTGTGCGATGGAGTTTCTTCTTTGGTAGCAGATCTGGGTGGCATCTTTCTACTGGGAGGTTCATTACCGGGCATCGAAGCGGGTTCAGAATTACTACGTAAATGTCCGATGGATATCTCTTTGGGTGCACTATTTGTATCTCTTTTTGGTTCTCCGATTACTACAGAAGATTTAGGATTAGTAGGGGAAGTCAGAGGAGACCTGCTAGTTGTGCGAGGCGGGGGTGGTGGAGGTACCTTTTTAGCAGTAGTTTGTGACGGCGAAGATAATGACTCCTGATTATCGACTATGGTGTGTTTCGATCCACTAACCGACACTCGTACAAACACTTCTTGAATGTTTGTGGAATTCACATTTTCATTTGGAGCTGGGGAGGATGAAGGAGATAAATTCATGCTCTGTCGATTACTCCCATTACTAACTTGTAATTTCCCACTCACTTGAGTAGGGGCGTGGAAAGCACTTCCTTGACCAGATCCCTTTGGCGTCGATGGCACGGGTGGTGCAAAACCATGTGTTGGTGTTCTTACTGGCGAGTCCGCACTCGGATACGAAGGAAGGCGACGTTGAGGTCCCAGAAGTCCCGGTATAACATCACGTTTCTGTTCGACTGGTTTTGTAAATGTTTGTAGCTCATCCAGTAAGGCATCTAAGGCATTTTCGGCTCGCGATGCCCTTTGATGCCCGTCTGGCGGAACGTGGATGACTGTATGGGGATCGGAATCAATTGCCTGAAAGAAAACAATGTAGTTTACATTATAATAACTTCTTAAACGATATAAACAATATTTTAAATGCGTAAAATATTTTCATATGTTTCTATACAGCCAGAATATTAAAATTTAATATTTTCCTATATCTGTATGATATAACCAATTTGATATAAAATATATTGAATACAATTATTAAATAAATTTATACTTTGGTCCTTTTCTGAACATTGAATTAATATTGTTAATACTGAATAAAAATTTGTGTATGCTGTGATCAAAGACTTTTTATCTCTGAAACCTCTTCTGTACTTAAGAGCATATAATAAGCATTGTATAATTTATGTATTGCAAATTGTTGAACATTAACAGTTAAAACTAATTCTGAAATTTATGATGTATTTTAAGAAAATTCTTCAATTTATAAATCTAATTATATATCTAGTATAAACTAACTGTCTAGTGATCTAGATGTGCTATTTAATACAAATATCATTAGAATAAAATACATGTAAATTTAATATGCTTATTTAGTATAAGCTTAAGTAGTATCTGTATTAAAACCTTTATTTTAGAATTATGGATATTTCAATTAAGTAAAACTGTAAAAATGTTAATTTGTAGTAAATATTAGAAAACTTTCATTCATACAATTATTGTGTTTTGAAGGAGAATTTAAATAAAAATCAATCTTTCTAAAAGTTTAATTTATTAAAATATTTTTGTCTTATTTATCTCAATAACCTTTATTTTAAAGCAGTTTAAAAACTTTTCTGTAGAACATAAAATTAATTGCCAAAATGATGATTAAATAAAATCTCATGTTATAACTTATGAAATCTGCAAATGTGTATACAGCAATTTAAAATACAATAAAAATATAATTCACACAAATTTGCTAAAATAATCTAAATAACATCATTATCAACATTATAGTTTTGTAAGTTTTTCAATGCCTATGTATTTTAATATGTTAAAATTCTATAATATTAGGTTAATCAGTCAAAATTTGAATTTAAGAAATTCTTCTAACAAAATATCTTAATATAAAATTATGAATTATTATGCCTTTTCAACATGATAGTGGTTATTTCCAGAACTTTATGTAATTTAATAGTTGATTAAAAAATAAAGAGAATTTAAAAAGGGTTAGGATTTTATAATGTTTTATCAATAAAAGATTAATAAGTTATAGTATTTGATTTGGAAAATTTTCAATTTTCTTTACAACTATGTGCTCATTCATGGAATTTATACTGAAAATTTTCTGTAAGCTTACTTAATCCTTATTGTTTATTGTGATTCTGTCTAACTTGTAACATTTATGTAATTTAATATAGGAATATTAAAATCAATCATTTCTCTCCACTTCTGCATATTAAAAGAATCTTTAACCTATAATATCAATATTGCTTTGGATAAAGTGTCATTATCAGTTGCAGTTATCTTTTTGTTTTTTACTGATTAAATGTTTTACAATTATTTTTCTAGATATTTCTAAAACATTATCTTTTTGCTTTACCATAATGAAACAGTGTTCATCAATGTTAGTATATATTAAGCAGTGTGCATCATTTTAAAAAAATCTTCAGAGATTTAAATGAATTTTAATTATATGTCAACAGCATATAATTCATCATTTTTATTCAGTATTATTCATATTTCCTGTACAAGATATTGTTTTATATGTTAACTGTAATAAATATTAATTGTGTATATGCAATTAAGTATATAAAAATTATACAACAGTTGAATTAATAAAAATCTAATCTGTAATATTAAGTCTTACAATCTATTATTATTTGAATAAAAAAAAATTGTATTTTCAATATTAATATAGATTAAATTCTGTTTTGCTCCAATTAGTCATCTAAAGGAATTTTTGTCCTGCAATTCTCTGTTCTAAAGTTGTTATCTGTACATTTAATGTTAAAATGTTAGAAAAATTCTAAGAAAAATATGCAAAAGTATTTATGTAATTTATTTCATATAAATACTGTATTTTCATGACATTTTTGCATTTATAGAATCATTTTTATTATTATATGTAGCAGCTAAATTGTTTCTTTTTAATTTAGAATTACTTTCAAGAATCAAAAACGAAACTGTAATTTGAGAATATAGATTTTTATATTTCAAAAAAAGAGAAAAAGTTTTTATATTTACAAAATAAAGAAACTAAGAATCTCAAAAGTAGAGATTATTATTATTTTCTTGCAAAATTGTTTTTTTTTTTTTTTTT